AAAAAAAAAGAGAATATTCAATTATTTGTCATTGTTCGAATCCATTCATCTTCATTTAATAACATTGAATCCCAATTTGTCATTGTTTGTGTTTCATGTGATGTTATTAATGGATATGTTTGTGTACCATTATCAATTAAATCAAGTAAATCCATGGCATCAAAATCAAATAAAACAGATGATGAAGAATCATTTTTCGATAAATCATCAAGTAAAAATTCATCAAGAAAACATGATGTACCAACGGATTCTTGATATGGTAATAAATAATTATCATATTGATTTGTTGGTTGTTCTAATGGATGTTCAGTTATTGTTTGCATTTGTGTTGATGTCATTGATATAGGTAATGTTTGAACAACAACACTATTATTTGTTTCAGATGAATAATTGAGTATATTGGAAATATTACCAACTGTTTGTATACACATATCTGAACGTGTTGGAGAAGATTTTTGAGTTTCCATATCATTAACAGGAACATTATCCCATTGTGTCATTGTTGATGCATTAAAAACATCTGTTGGCGCATGATAAAAAGCTACTGTCGATGGTCCATCATCGGTTGTTGTTGATATCGTAGTAGTAGTTCGTTTTGTTGAATTTCGTGTTCGTTTTTTATACATTCTTATACGACTTTGTGTTTGACTAGATTTTTGTTCAGTTGTTTTTATTGGAATTAAACGTGTTAAATTTAAATCACTATTTGTTAATGAACAACATTCTGTACCAACAGAAACACGAGTATATGTTTGAGTTGCTTTATCACTATCTGATTCACATATATTAGCTGAATCAATGGTTGAGGATATTGATGATGAAACAGGAATTGTTTCAATATTGAAATTTTTTAATAATTCTAATGCAAGTGGATTTATTGTAACAGGCTGATGTGAAGGAATGTTTTGACGAGAGAGTTCAATTTGATCAGGTGGAAGTGGACGACGACGATTTGGTCGTTTTCGTCGTTCATTTAATTTTGTTAAAGTAGGAAGAGCACTAGAATAATTTGAAATAGTATTATTGAATTAAAAACTATCGTACATTTTATAATTTTTAATAAATAAAGAAAGGATACTGATGTTTTGAGATAAAAGTATTGACATTTATTTAAGAGTAATTTTTTTTCATTCTATCATCTGTCAAGTTGTCTTAAATGATTATAAATAATAGTTTTTATATAAAGGATTTTCTTATCTATCTCTTCATAGCAATTAACAGAATTTTCTTTGAAAGGATCATTTGTCAAGATTTTTTTATATTAAATATAAATATGATATTACTTTCTTTTAGACATATTTCTACACGCCTAAGATTTGCTAAATCTTACTTTATCACAGAATAATCATTTTGAGATTCATTATTAACATTCGTATGATATTTTAATTGATGTCGTCTTAAACTTGTTCGATTTTGGAATTGTTGATCACAGTTCGAACAAGCAAATGGACAATGTACGCCACAACTAAAAATAAAATATAAAATAAAATAATTCTGAATTATTTTATTAAAATATACATACATTTTTTCATGAGCAATCAAATCTTGATGAAGACCAAATGATTTCAAACATTTTGAACACTGTTCTTTTTTCAAACCATGTTGTCGTAAATAGTGCTATAATACACGAAACGTTTTTCTTTTAAGAAATAACATTAGTTGTATACTTACAAGTCGTACAGCATTAAAATTCGAAAATGATAATGATTGAACGTGAGTTTTTTTACAACGACAATAAAATGTACAATCTTCAACGGGACAATGATATCGTCCAATACGTGATGTATATCTATGTGAAGCCTATTATATAAATAGATATAATTTATTTTCTGTAAAATAAAATGTCAAAATGTATTTTTTACTAACTGTAACAATTCCTGTTTCTTTGTGATACATTTGAAGATGTACATTAAGTGCCATAATATTTTTAAATATTTTTTGACATTTTTCTGATGAATGCTGTTGTTCCTTATGCGGACATGTCACTTGACTTGTTTCATAATTAAGCTCGTCACTTGTTGGTATAATACATTCGAATGATGAATTTATTTCACTATGTTTATTATATTGATTTATCTGACAACTTATCATTATTGATAGCTGTAAGGAAAATTTAATCTATATTTTATTGTTCGATGAGATTGAAAATAAACATTCAAATTTAATGAAGTATATATATATATTGTTATCAGAAGATTGAAATCATTATAAAGAATATTGGAATTGGAATATTTAAACTATTGAGAATATTTAACAGAAAATTTGATATTGAATAAATTGTTCAGTAATAAATAATGAGAATTGAAAAAAGTTGAATACTGATAATAAATCAATCTAAAATAAATGTATAAATTTTTTTATAGGTATTTTTGTTCAATGGATGAATTAACAAATATCTGCTTTTTCAGAGGCATCGAATGACAATACTCATACAAAATATTAGTATAGCATTCGAAATATGATCACAAATAACTGACATAAGGCTTAATATGTCATAAGAATACACACTATCTCTCAATTTAAAAATATAAATCACGAATAGGTGTGTGTCCTTCTCTAAGCGATTAACAAAAATCTAATATTTACTAATTCTTCAGCTGACTCATTATAGATGAATTATTCTTACCGTATTCTTAAACACGATATTTGATTAAAATAACTATAAGAATAGAAATCAAAACTCGTCATTGGACATCTAAGAAATAAAAAATAATAGTTTTGACAAATTTGAGCAATTTCTTTTGACAAAAATAAATTTCTTCTGTTATCTCACAACGAATAACAAAAAAGACGAAGAGAAAAAAAATATAATGTGAGTATTTAGATTTAGAAAGAAAGGAAAGGAAAAAAACAAACAAAAGTAAGTAAATATTGCAACTGTAGATTGATGGAAAGAAAAAGAAAAGAAAATTTAAGTTAAAGAATTTTTAATAGATTTGTTAAATAATATTTTCATATCATCAGGTAAATTTTCATCGATAATTAATTTCATTTTCATTTTTAATTTTTCTAAATAATCATTTCGATCTACTTGATTAAGTGTTAGTAATCTTTCATCATTTTTTATTTCGATACGTTGAATTAAATCTCTAAATTTAATAACTAAATCAATTAATTCAAGTTCTTTTAATTGTGATAAATTTAAATCTTGTTCTAAATGACAATAAGCAAGTGTTTTAATATATAATGAATAAATTTTTGCATTTGCTTCTTGTTGTCGATTTAATAGCCAAAGACGAAAATTAGGTGTTGAAAGAAAATGTTTATATAAGTCTTTCCAATCACCTTTCAAACCAGAAGTTAATTGTGGACCATATTGATCAATCGTTTTAAGAAATTCTTCTTTATCAAAGTCTTTTATCAGAGGTGGTTCACGATTAGCTTGATACAATTTTTGTAACGGTAAAAGACTACTAAAATAACGTTCAAGTGGTATAATAAAGCTTTGAGTTAATTCAAGAAAAAATCGACGTAATAGCGCATTTTGAACAGTTTCGAGACGTTGCTGAGAATTAGTTGGTTGAAGTTTTTTTAATATTGTTTTATCACGTTGTAAATAAGATTTATATTTTGTATATAAACCAGGTTTCATATTAAATGTTAAATGTGAAGAATTATTATTTAATGCAAGTGTAGGTTTAAATGGTTTTGATGTTGTTGAAATTTTTTTTTTAATTTGCATTTGAGCTTGTGGTGATGATGATAATTCAAGACTATCTTCTAAATCATTTACAGATAAA